GGCTAACTGACCACTGACTGAGGAGGAGCTTAATACATAAGGGGGAGCCTCATGTCTCAGAAGATGTTCTGACATCTTCCATTGCTAACAGCTAACTGCTAACTGAGTTTTTGTTTTGCTTGCTTTGCTTATGCTGCTGCTCTGATAATGTTCTGATAATGTGCTCAAATAATGTTTTAGCCAAAATTTGCCAAAGGGGGAGTTTGTAAGTGTTTGTTGGCAGCAATTTTGGTAAAACAATGACTTGATAATATTTTGATAAATGTCTTGACATCTGAAGTAAACTGTTTTGAATGATGTCAAAGCAGATGTCTTGACATCTTCCTCCTGAGTTGAACGAACTTCATATATGGTTTAAGTTTCCTGTTTCCTGTTTTTATGCGCGCCATTATTCAGGATTTGTGACTCATAGGTTGCGAAAAATATGGAGGCATATTTTTCTATTTGCATTATCCTTATGGATTATATCTTGGTCTGTTTTCGTGGAAATATTCAAAAGATTAAAATATTTATTTTTCAGCCCAAGCCCACGGTTGCGCCTTTATAAGGACTTGCATCCTTATTCATTTGACGACAACTTTTAAAGAATAATACATTCTTTTTGTTTTAGAAGTCTAAGTATTTTAATTGTAATACACTCTAATATTAATTTAATACTTGAGTTATTATTTAAGTTGTTAATTGTGGATCATTCATAAGCTTTTAAGTATTGAATGATTAAAGTCTTTAAAACTTAATAATTATGTTGTTCTTCACTGTTGGTAATTGAAGGGATTTAAGGAGGGCCTCGTACCTAGGTGTGTCTTAGGTAGAAGTATAACACAAGTAGTGATTAAGTAATTAGATCGTAAACTGGTTGTTTACTGAGGGTCTATGAATTGATACTATTTAGTGGACTTGTCCCTGGCTTGGTAGCCCCCAGAGTATGTGTTATTGTACATTGAACTGGGTTAATAATCCTTTGTGTTTTTACTGCTTTTATTATTGTTGTATTTTACATTGTCCTCAGATATTTGTGTCGTGACATATCCTTCGACATCACATATTTGATACCAGAATTTCAACACACAACCAACATAAACCAACAAGAATTCAAAAGCAATACATAACCTGATGTGGTATTAGATTACCACATTATGGTATTCGAGTAAAAACCTGAAGCTATTCACTTTTTCACATTCAAAATGTTTCTAATATATTGCAATGCTTTATGGATTGTTTTCTAATTAATGTAAATAATCACAATAATGGTTTACAATATTGTTTTCAAACTTGTGCATCTTTTCATAACAATGGTTCATGTTGTGTATAAGATGCTCTCATAATTTTTTTTGACTAACCACATTCACACTATAGTTACGATATTCGTTCAAAATTTTGATCTTGAATTGTTAGTTATGTCTTTAAATGAAAACAATTTCTGTATGTTTGCAATTTCGTCAATGAAATATGGGACAATCTTGAAATGATATATGAGGTATCTTCAAGTATTGAACAAGAGAGAATAAACACACGATGGTGAAAAAGTTGAAACACTAGATGAATGTGAAAGTTACTATTATAAATGGTGCCAAACCTTTAGAAATTTTGGAAGCAATGTTAGGACTATCATCGTTATCAAATATCCAAGAGTTAAAAAATAGAATAAAAAACCTGATACAATCCTTAAATCTAAAGATGGGAATGTTTATAAATTTCACAAAAAAAACCAATAAGGAAGAAATCATTAGAACCTTATTGAGTTGATTCAACACTTACATTATTAAAGGTGTAACTCAAACCTAAAATAATCTATAGAAAGTTAATTAGATAACTTTTTTAAGAAAAAGAATAAAAATAAACTCCAGTAGTATCCTTTGAAAGAACAATCTCAGTGAATGAACGATCCTCAAAAGATTCAACATATAATGAAGAAACTTCATCGAGAAGAGAAAATGAAGAATAAGAGGTTTCATCCAGTAGAATATTTGAAATAAGAAATGAGAAGGAAGTATCAACGAGTAATATCTTTAGAGGCGGAACATCTAGGAGAGATCTTGAAGAATCAACCTCGAGTAGAATCTTCGAAGAATCTTCTTCCAACGAAGAAGATGGACTAGTTTTCATGAAAGCTTCTCACGAAGAAGATGATCGTAAGGTGACAACGTTATCATACAAGCAACTTTTTAAATTAAATGCCAAGTTTATTGAGGAACATGATAAGATTGAAAAGCGCACCATAAATCTTTAAGACTACATTGAGTTTATAGAAAATATCAATGAAACACTAAGATATGAAATGACTAATCTTATAAACCAATATAGTAAATGTGAGACTCGTGTCTCGATGAAAAGGGAGATGAAAGATCTGCATGAAACCCTAAGTAAATTTACTAATGAAAAAAAAGCTAATTTGATTATATCAAATCAAAGGGTTTTCTTGAATAAAACTATATTCAGTTTTAAATATGGTAGATCACATAGTAAAGACCTTAATAGAAAGAAATTGAATCAACCTATTTATAAATGATCATATTGTGGAGATGGCCAGCTAGATCCCTTTTATTTTGATAAACTAAGAATAACTAAAATTAGTAACCCCAAATCCCTTAGAATTACTAATGCACCAGGATCCCAAAAGATGCAGGTACTATTTTGGGACGATCAATGGCCCAATGCAAAAGCCCAACCATGCATAGCCCAATATAAATTATCCAACGTATAGTCAACACACGTGATATTCAAGATACACCTTTTTAACTTCATTTTTACTTCACTCATCTTGACTTTATAATTGAGTTGGGCATTACAGTGCTAACTTTGCAGGTCCACCTTGCGCCACCATACTAAAGATTAACACTACGACTTCAAGAGTTCAACACCATTTATAAACATTAATTTTGGTTCCCGTGCGGAATAATGTCGCCATTTGTGGAAAATATCATCAGATTCTTACAAAATTCCACGATCAAATCCAACTTGATCCAAAACTAAATCACAAAGAAGTCACATCTGCAGCTCATCATATTCTAACCTTACAGTAAAATACATTTCCTTCAACTTCCCCGATCCAACTACCGATGTCAGTGACTGTAATTAAGAAGATATGGAAGGAAACTTTGAAACAAAGATTATCTATTTGTTATCTCTAGATATTCTTGTATCTGAAAGGGAAACCGAAAAAAAGATGCAAATTAACATTACCGTAGTTTGAGAAACGAACCTCTGCCGCAAATCTAATATCCTTATTTATTATAACGATATGATACATCATTTTTTGAAACTCAATATACACTAGAGGCTCGACGTGTCCAATTATAGTTCGAAGATGAACACAAACATATATTCCATGCACACCAGCTAAAACACAAGGAGAAAGAAAAGCCACATAAATCTAGCAAATCAATCGACCACCTACATAGTGAGATGTATCAGCCGAATCAACCTCTAACGCCGAGTTAGCTAAATAGACATACATTGTATTTCAAGCAAATAAGACACATTTGCTAAAGGATAAATCCACGATGGTTCTCACACTCAAAAGAAATAATACATTACAACCACAATGACGCAAACTTGAGGTTGGCATGTACAAAACTTTGGTGCCGACATGCACATAACATATTGCTGAAATCTCAAGCAACTCACCTCGACACTGAGAAAGGTGGTAATCTAACAAAATGTTCACCCGCGGTCTGAGCGAAACACGAGATGCAAAAAATTATAGGGGCTGAATCTTATGACTCGTCATAGAAAGAAGGACTCAGTAAAAGAATAAAGTTTATTGACTCATATCCCTTCAAAGATAAAATCAGTTGATAGACAATCATGTACGAACTTTTTAATGCTGAACGCCTAAGAAAGGCATTTCAATCCCCCACATAAGATTAGTCAAAAGATTAATATCTCTCAAAGTTTTATATTAGTAGTAGATTAATTCAATTTTATCAAATAATTTAATTTTATACGAATTAAGAAAATGTGATAAATGAAAGAGAGAATAGAATATTAATTTTACCAAACTATCCTTATTTAATATTAATGTATTCAAATTATCATAACTTCGTAGTGATAGAATAATAAATTGAGAGTATTAATTAAAAGGTAAAAAAATTTCATTACTGAAAGAACTTTACAAATTATTATTAAATCATGTAATGTAAAATTCAAACGAGATTCGTGCGATGACATTAATTTCTTTCTAATTAAAAAATAAAAATAAAAATCACATTAGAAATTTAAAGAAAAATTATTTTAGAACAAATAATTTTAATTAATGCGCCAATTATTTTGAGAATGAGAGATTATTTGTTATAAACTCATCCGCTAAGGATGACATCTCTCTCATTTGCATGTTTTTTACAAAGAATCCAAGATATTTTATTTTCATGCAATTCAAATTGAATAAAATTCAAATAAATGAAAAAACGCATGATATGTGGTTGAGCACATGACAGTAGGCGCCCAAAGAAAAAACCGAAGAAAAGGCTACCGCAAATCCAGCTGGACAAGGACATTCGTGTCATTTTCTAATTAGGGTTTCCCAAAGAACGCATCTTCAAGATTCAAATCAAGCTACACTAAACTCACACGCCTCCTCAGCTCACACACAACAACAGACCAATAAAAAATTATTAATTAAATTTACAATTAAAAACATAACCAATCATAATCTACCACGTGTTAATATCCACCAATCAGAAAAAAACAATGAGATCACAGCGTGACCCGCGGGTGAGGTAAGGACAGTGAGAAAAGAGAGTGTAGGTGGTGCTATTTGAATCACTGCTTTTGGTGAAACAAAACCCTCTCTTCCCAAAAACCCAAACCCTTGGCGGCTGCGAGACTCGTTCTCTCTCTATCCATCTTCTCTCTCTATCACTCTAGGGTTTCTCAAATCTTCGATTTGGGGCTTAAACCCTTTGTATCTCGATTCAGATTCAGATTCGTTTTTTGGGTTTATCTGTTTCGTGATTTTTTTCTTTCAGAAGAAAGAACGAGATCTCGGTATCGATTTGAATATGGCTGCAGTTGCAAATTCCGCAGATCGTATCCTTCTTAGCTGTTTAATTTATTTCCCGTATTTTTCGTTGCTTGATCTGTTTTTGTGAACTTGTTGATTGGATTGGATCGGACTTGTTTTTTTACTTGATTTTTTTTTGAAGTAGGTTTTATTGAGTTGAATTCAAAGTTTTTGATTTTGGGGTGTTGTTAATTTTGTTTTGTGGTTTAAGTTGAAATTCGAATTTGCGAGTTTGTTTGTTCCTTCACTTTATTGTGTTCACAGAAGCAGTTGAATTGCTGCAGAAGTTCACGTTAGAACCTAAGCCCAAGTCCATGGAAATCCCTGAGCCGACCAAGAAGGTAATAATTTTCGATTTTTATTGTTGCTGTAGTTAATTCATGTGATATAGAGTAACATCATAGGAGAAAATATCACATTTTTGCTTTTTTTTGTTTGATTTTAGTGATGATTGAATTTGGATTCTCCTTGTTGTGCTGATTCAAATTTTCATTTTTTTAGGCTACAGGTAATCAGTATGGATCAGTTGATAATGGAAATGCTCAGATCCCATCATATGAAAGGTCCCTAACCCCTGTGTTGCCGGAATTTATGGATCCTGCCATGTGCTATCTCCCAAATGGCTACCCATCTACCACCTTTTATTATGGTGGTAAGTGTATACATATATATTTATATTTAAGAAATTGTGTCTAATCAATATTCATTTTTTGTAATCTGATATGTGGGTCTTTTTAGGTTATGAAGGGACTGGTAATTTTGAGTGGGAAGATTTTTCTCGATACATGAGTCCTGATGGAGTTGATTTGACTTCTGTAAGTATGTTTTTTCTTCTAATAAAGTAAAGTATTATCGTAATTTTAAATTTGTTTATATTAATCTGTCCTTGTATTTTAAGGGAGTCTATGGGGATAATGGTTCTCTGGTTTATCACCACGGATATGGATATGCTCCCTACGCCCCCTACTCTCCTGCTGGTTCTCCAGTCCCAACCATGGGAAATGACGGTCAGTTGTATGGGCCTCAACACTATCAGTATCCCCCTTATTTTCAACCCTTGACACCAACCAGCGGGCCATTCACACCTACTCCTGCTGTCCATACCCAGGGTGAAATTTCCACCTCTGTAGCTGCTGATCAGAAGCCTCTCTCTCTGGATACTTCAAATGGGAATTCCAATGTTGTTTCTAATGGTGTAGGTGCTAAAGGTATGGGGTTTGATATATCTGTAAAACAACACTAAAATTATACTATCTGTTGAATGCTGTATAATAGGTTGTTTGTTTTGACAGGTCGCACTACTACTTCTGCTTATCAGGATCCCAGATTTGGTTTTGACGGAGCTCGCTCACCTGTCCCATGGCTAGATGCCCCAATATTTTCAGATGGGCAGCCAAGACCTGTAACTAGTACTGCAATCTCTTCCTCAATATCAAGTGGCAACAATGGTACTGCTTCAAGGAACCAAACTTACCGCCCCAATTCTCAATATATGGTATGCAAAGCATTTTTAAGCATTTTGTTATGAATTGTATTAGGTCTTGGAAGCAGAAAAATTGTCGCTTGTATTTAAGTTTCAATTTTACTCTTTGAAAATCTAACATGGGTGTGTTTTTTGTGTTTATTGTTGATAATTTATTATTTGTAAACCTTTCTTTTTCATAGGGCTTGCACCATCCTAGACCAATGCCTGCCATGGGAGCCAACCCTGGGTTCATGAGTAGAATGTACCCAAACAAGTTATATGGGCAGTATGGCAACGCAGTTAGATCAGGTATGGGTTATGGAGCACATGGGTATGATTCTCGTACAAATGGGCGTGCTTGGCTTGCTGTTGACAATAAATACAAAACAAGAGGAAGAAATGGTGGTTACTTTGGATATGGCAATGAGAACACCGATGGTTTGAATGAACTGAACAGGGGACCTAGGGCCAAGGGTGGTAAGAACCAAAAGGTTTTTGTACCAACTGTTCTTGCTGTGAAAGGGCAGAATTTGCCACTTAGTGCTGATGAAGAGAAAGAGAAGGCTTCTAATATTCCAGACCGTGAGCAATACAACAAGGCTGATTTTCCAGAAGAGTACACTGTTGCTAAATTTTTTGTCATCAAGTCTTATAGTGAGGATGACATTCACAAAAGCATCAAGTATAATGTATGGGCCAGCACACAAAATGGCAACAAGAAGCTTGATGGTGCCTACCAAGAGGCCCAGCAGAAACCTGGTGGCTGCCCTATATTCCTTTTGTTCTCAGTAAGCATCTAGGTCCGTTGCATGTCATGTTTTCTTATTTTCGTTTGTTATAGTTTTGCTCACACTAAACTCATTTGCAGGTTAATACTAGTGGGCAGTTTGTTGGGCTGGCTGAGATGATTGGTCCTGTTGATTTTAACAAAAGTTTGGAGTACTGGCAGCAAGACAAGTGGAATGGTTGTTTTCCTTTGAAGTGGCACATTGTTAAGGATGTTCCCAACAATGTGCTGAGGCACATTACATTGCAGAACAATGAAAACAAGCCTGTCACAAACAGTAGGGATACACAGGAGGTAAATGAGTTTTGCTCTTGTAGTTGTCAATTGGTTGTAATAGTGGGTTCTCGTCTGATCAATCAAGTTTATGATTGCAGGTATTGTTGGAGCCTGGTCTGAAGTTGATCAAGCTTTTTAAGGAATACTCTAGCAAGACGTGCATTCTGGATGATTTTGGGTTCTATGAGGGTCGTCAGAAGACTATTTTGGAGAAGAAAGCAAAGCAGCAATTCCCAAAGCAGGCAAGTATTTCGATCATTCTAGTTTGCCCATGTTTTATTCTATATGGTTTATTCTCGTATTGATAGATTTTGTGTTTAATTTTTTATTTTACTCTGCTGAAGGTTTGGGAAGGGAAGGCAACTGAGGAAAAGATAGAGGTGAATGGGGAAATAAATACTCAAAAATCTGAAGTCACCTCTGAGTTGCTCAAGGAGTCTACCCTAGCTGTGAAGGACACTGATAACCACACACTTTCTGAGAATGGTGCTGTTGCAAAAATTGGTGATGCCCCAAAGGGTGCTAAGCCAGTTGTATCTGAGAGTAAAATTGTACCTAATGGGGTTGCTAATGGTTGCTAAGTTCCTTATGATTCCAAAGATGGCGGTGATTGAGTTTAATGGCATATATATCCATCCTTCGCAAAATATAACTCAGCAACTTGGTTCCGCCTGATTGGATCCGTCTCGCCTTCTCTTGCTGTGCGAAGATGATTGGTGATTAGTGAGATCTGTACATTGAGATAGGCTGAGCGGAGTTAGTTGATAAAATGCTAGCACCAACCCTTTGTAATTGCCTTTGTTTACAGTGGTTAGTTCCTAACAGGTTTTTTCTCCTAGGGTTTCTTGGGTTTTAGGGTTTCTGCATAAGATTCTTACATGTTTTTGTTCGTTTTTTTCTTCCTTTTTTTTACTTGGATGGTCAGTTTCTTCCTGTCTTCTATTTTGTTGGGGGTAGATGCAAGGTGGGAAATACTTGAAATATAGTTTGCTTTAAGTTTTTATTAGTCTGGTTAAATTAAATTTTGATGATTGAATTGTGCCTATCAGAAAAAATATATTGTGGACAATCTATTATGTAATCGGGTGTTTTTCTGGCTATGAAGCTCACCATATTTAGTTCAAGTATTTTACTATTTTTAATTAACTAGCCTTTCACTGTCAGAGCATGTATATTATATGTTTGACTGTTTTTCTTGTCCTAGCCCTTTTTTGAAAGTGTGTTTGGTGTTTATTGCAATATTTACTCACTTCTTGAAACTCAGTGTTACTGTTAAGCAGCTACCACAATATTACTAAAACAATTATCATTTTCTTTTTCAATCAAGGTAGTGTAGGCTGATGATTCTGCTCCTTCATTGAAAAGAAATCACCGAATCATATCTTTCTAGGAAAACTTAGACGGGGGAATACTAGTCTGCTTCAATTGCGGTGGATGGAGGATTCAGTTATGAGAGATAAATAATTAGTGAGGGCAGATTCCCTATTGTATGCCATTTCCACTACGTATCACCCAATTATCTTTAGCATGTAACATGTGAGAGAAGAGTAGACGGATTAGGCTGTTTTTCAAATTTCTAAGCTAGTTCGGGGCTGTTGAATTGTTCATTAGCTGTTCATAGTTTACCCTTAATTGGTGGGGAAGCTGCAATAATTTCGGCTGTCCATTTTCATTGAAAAGTCGTAAAACTGAATTATAAGTTTTTTCCTTATATAAAAATCTCACCAACACTGATAATTTGAATCGGTCTATTGGGGTACATATTTTTCAACTAGTGTCCTCACTATATGCTACTCAAATTTATGCCCCTTGAAAGCTAAACGCCTCCACCACGCATAAGCAGCCTTAAATAAAATTATAGCCCAAGTTTTTCTCCTAGGTCACCCTAGTCCTTTGTTTTCCTTTCATCCATGCAACTGCACACGTTTTTAGTGAATATGACTAAGAAACTGCTATAACAATGATAACCAATGCATGGACACTTTACTTTTTACAAGAAAACAACACTTGAATAAGTTATCATTTTAACTTTCAAGAAAATCAAATACATAAATAAGTTTGTATTGTTCTGAAGTTTGTGTTCAATAACATCCTTAGCTACCTAGGCATTTCCAGATCTGGTCTCCTATCAATCACTTTGCTCATTGAATCTTCAGGAAATGCATCTGGATAAGTTGTAGAAAGTTTCGTCTTCATATTTCTGCAAAAGGCAAGGTTGATTGAAGCTTAAGCTTGAATTCATAATGTGTAAATAAATGAAAAGCAGATACAAACAAACTAAACATATATAGAAGGTTCTGTACTACTGTGCAATATTAGTTTACTCTCCCAAACCTTTTCTTCTACTGTTTGTCTGCTCTTCTATTGTTTGTCTGCTTCATTAATCATCAGTATCATGTTTATCAAATATTGTAATTCATAAGTCATAACCAAAATGGGTGAGATGGTCCAAGAAACAAACAGTCTGGCTTACATTACCCCCAAACAGAAATCAGTTCAAGCCACCCATGGCATCAACAGCTTAGACTGAGTTCCATACTCGTCACCACTTCCATCTCTTCGGTCAGTAAGAAGTCACATTGAGGCTTTTGCTGCTGATTTTCAAGCACAAGCCCTTTTGGCTTAGCTTCTAGTCTTTACACGCTTCTCGACTACCACATCACCACCAAAGACAACATCACTTGGCTTGGTTTTCCAGTGTTTACTTGCTTCTCTAGCAACAAGTGCCTTTGTTACCTCAGAAAATCCTTCACGTCAATCTGTCATCACCAAAGACAACTTCATCTTCAACACTTAGTATTGCTTCTAGACTCTAGTTTTCACTAGCTTCTCTAGCACCAGATGCCCTTGTTATTTCCCAATGTCAACCCTTCATTGTCATCACAGAGATAACTTCATCACCATATGGTTCAAAAATACCTATATTCTTCGTGTTCTTAGTCTTCATTTTCTCAAAACTTTGTAACTTTGTAAGGGACAAAGACCATACTATATTTTGCTAAACAATAGCACTACATTACCCCTTTTAGTTAGCAAGTTAAATGACGAGTCTCTTTGAAGAGTTACCAGACTTTAATAGTTGCTGAGCCAGAAAGGTATCCCAAATATTGTAGCATCTGCACTTAACTGAAGCAGTGCTTGAACTTACAAAAGTTCTTAAGCCTTTCCAGTAACTTTGTCTCAGCACCCACGGCTGCGTCCACCACATACTAAAACGGGAAAAGTTAAAATGTTGATACACATACTCTCTGATCACAGGGTGGTCCAACATGTTTAGAGACCTAAAGAAACTAATAGAGAGGCCTTTTAAAATCAATTAAAATCAAAATTTGCAGAATCCAAGGTTTGAATCTGTGTCAAAGAGGATATAATATGAAGCGCATTTTGTGACCAACTGAGCTCTACAAACATCTACAACTTATCTTGCATATTTTTTTTGGTCTAATAGCCTAATGGCTGAACTTCCACACCCTAAAGGTGAATGAGTGGAATACCACAGGTTCGAACACGTGCCTCTGCAGCCGGATATCCCTGTACACTGAGCGGGCATTTGCACACCTACCAACTGAGCAGGCTTAACGCTCTAGCTTGGATAGCCCTCCCTGATTATAAGGACAAATACTGTACACACCAATTTCAATACACAGAAATAGAGATTCAAATGGAGTTTTTTCTTACCTCAGACAGAGTACCCTAGTTTCAATTAAACAATGACGATAAATGATAAAGATTAAGAATCAAATAATAATAATAATAATAATAATACCTTAGTTTGAGAAAAATATAATCAAGGTCAGATTTGATAGACTTCAAGACCCGAGTATTTCTAACCATATCACCGGAAATCTCAGTGAAACAATGTTGAGAGAAATCATTGAAATGTGATAAAACTGCATTGCTATCTTGCAATCTTCCCAATCTGAAATTCAATACTCCGAAATTCAGTATAATCATTTGTTTATTAGAATGTATGAACAAACAAAAGGGAAATTGAAAGAGGAACGTACATGGTGTGCTGTAAATGGTTAAGGGAACGAAGATCATCGGAACTAACGAGGGTTTTGAACTCACTCGAAAGCTCTTCGGAGCTCAATTTCATCGATTCCGATTCTGATTCTTTATCTGACATTTCCGCAACCGCGACGGAATGAAACGGTTATTTCTTCTTACCCCTTTCACAGAATTGAACAACAGTCAACACAAGCTAAACTGGGCTTATTGGGTAAAAAGCCCAATATATTCTGTTACTGCTGCTATCCGCACCCATTATTTTACTGACATCACTACTAATTGCCCAAAAATTTGAAAGTATAAATTACACCGCATCTCTTCGTAATTGAGTAACGAAAGTTTTACTTCATATCCCAATAATTGTTCGCCTACCCAATTGATAGTCATGCAAAATCAAACAATACGATAAAATACAAAGTGCATTTCCGTAACTCAAGAAAATCAAATTCATATAAAATACGGAAGTGCGCTTCTGTAAAACATGAAACACAAAAATGGTAGAAAATGCATAAATTCAACACGACATATGCTTTAAACATGAAAATTCAATGTATTCCTCAATACACTATTATGAGTATAGCTACAATCCAATGTACCTTAAATAACCTGTTTATTAATGCATGCATCACAGATAAAAAAAAGAGAGGAAGGAAATGAAAAAACTTACAAATGTGAGAAGTAGACGCTCTTGGATTGAATGAATTTGAATAGAGATTGAGAAATCTCTTGTATTAGGTGCAATGAAGTAGAAATTGTGATAAAGGTTGGAAAATGGTTGAAATGAGGTTTCTCGCACACATTTTTTTTGTTTAGAGCAAGTTCTGATGAAAATGAAGAAGGGGGAAGGTCTGGAGTGATAATATCACTCAAACACGCTCAGAGGTATACTTCTATAATTTTTATAGAGATACACTTTCTTACTAATTTATCTCAAAATGATGGTGATTCACTAGCAAATTGTTATATGGATATTTGATGCGCCTAAAAGTGCATCTCCGAATTCGAGGGACATTTATGGTTTTTGATGTAGGTGTATGTGCACCCCTTAAGGGTGCATTGATCATTTCCATTTTAAAAATTATTCTTACAACTATGATCTTTCAATTAATTTGTCTAATAAATTACCTTTTGATTTCTAACAAACTTATAAAGTTAACTTACATTGTAAGTAGTCCCGTTAAGGCGACTCAAGTGATAGTTGTACAGTAACATTCAACTGCAGAAGAAAGAGTTTGAACCAACGATATTTCACTTATTCACCTTTAAGTGGTGAAATTCCATTCATTAAAATATTATAACAAAGAAAACTTACATTGTAACTATTTTTCTTTAAATTATATTTCCCAATTTCATCAAACTTCTTAAGTTCCTTATTATCCATCTTCATATTATAGGTTCTTTCATGCAATTGTCCAAGACTTATCAAATTACTTTTGATGCTCGGAATACATAGTACCTCAACAATCATACATTCATGTCCAACCTCGCTTTTTATTAAAACCTTGCCAATTCCCATTGATATCATTTCATTATTGTGTGTAAGCTTGATCTTCCTATGCACTCATGCTTA